AAAATGATCGCTCTATTGACGGAATGTTTGTTTTTGCAATCCTTGTGCGCGCGCTCAATTGCATCAGCAAAAGCGCGCGCGAAAACTGTGTTCGGCCACCTTAATTTGGTTTCTGTAGCATTAAAAAGTGACTAAGAGAATTGCTGGGGTCTTACGCATCACATGGCACGAAAAGGACAGATGATAATGAGGAGAGTTGTTACACTACCTGGTTGGAATCACTTGTTCATGGATGAAGACGTTCACCCACACCCCCTCCCCCACCCCCCCGCCGCCGACTTAACCACCACACCCCAATCCATCTTCACGCGTTGCACCAACAACATGGTAGCAGCCCTTTACACTCCTGAGAGGTACTCTAATTAGTGTATGATCGCTTTCTCCCACATTGTAGTGTAATGTTCCGTTCTCACTACGTCAGAGAAATTTGAAAACGCAGCTTTCTTTCTTCGGTTAGGCCTACCGTCCCCACTAATCCGTCACGAAAACGGAGCTGTTCGAAAACGCTTTTCATACCGGAGGGATTTGAAAACGCGGGCTTCTTCTTTAAGTGTAGTAGGAAGACATTTTGAAAACGGAGCTTTTCGAAAACATGATGACATCACTTTGATCATGTCCAAGTTTTCTGCAAACACAAATCTAAAATGACCGGTGATTGTTGCGTTTTCAAATTTCTCCGGCGTAGTGTGGACGAGGCCTAAGAAGTGTGCAAAGACTAGTAAGGGGACTGTATGTTGAATGACACTGTACCTTGGAAGCTGTACACTAGACTGATGCTGCTGTGGATGATGTTGATAGTGACCAAACACTTCCACCTGAAGAGGTCTGGTGCTGATGTAATCTATGAAATCCCTTGTTACCACGACTCCAACCTTCAATTAGGAATCATGAATAGAAAGCGTTTAGAAAGACTTAAGGAAGTAGTTAGAGAGAGCATGTTCAAACCAGTCAAGGTAAAAATGTTCAGTATACAACCAAAACCAGTCACGGCTTGGCGTAACAGCTCAGTAGAAGAACTTTGGTCTTGACAGAAACGTTTCTCGCAAAAACTGTGAGAAACAAATTACCAGCAGAAAGTCAAGAAACGGTATGTCACACTATCTACACCGGTGTGTTTACTTTGGTAACGCAACAGTTGAGGCTGATATACAGACGTGACAGTTGTACCTAGCCTCTGACTGACTAGATACGATAAACAGCCTTGTTCTAAGATCATATCAACAACACGAACAATATAACGACTGAAGAGCATAGCAATCTGAAAAGATTATATCGCAAAGCCGTGAATTGGGGTTTATTCCTCAAATCATGACATGATTGTTCTATGGGTAAATGTGAACACAACCGAGCATACAACAATAATACCAAACTAACTGCTTCAATTCTACAAGCGAAAGCAGTACCTTTTGCGTAAAGTAGAAGCCTAAAGGGCCGCTATTTTGGTTATTAGCGACGGGCTCAGTACAAAATCCTTCATCCTCTTCACTACAGAGAAACCTACAAAAAAAAAAACACAAGATATTGTCAGCAGAAACCCCTGACAAGAAATCTTCTGACTCCACGCCCTAAAAATTTTGTCTCTTGTAATTTCCAAATAAACTTGCTTTCCATTTTCTGAAGTAGCCAGACACGACAAGCCCGTAAATTTACCACAAAAACATAACTACATGAACTTCTTGCGTTTTTGGAGAAGTTTTAGGTTCAACTGTCATCTCGTAGCCTTTGCAAACAAATAATCCTTCAGGTAGCTGTAATTTAATTCATGAGATAAAAAAGATGAGCGACCAGGCACAAGTACTCTATAAAGTCGAACTTTAAAGTTTACCTTATCTGACAGAATATGTCTGTGTACTGCGCTGGAATCCCTTGACCCTGCAGTACAGTGATGCTGATCACGTAAGGTTTGCCAACATGAAGTGTCCCCTTTGAGAATGGAGGCTCGGTTACTTCATCTGCTTCAGCCGCTTCTTCCGCCTCCTGTTTGAATTAATTTAGACCCGTCAAAAGTTCAGCATGATGATTAGTACATTACTTGCAAAAAATTTCGGACGTTTTATTTTCCGACACTTTTTATCGCACTTCGTACTTTGCTGAAACATAGCTAACGTAAATTTATGCCTACAAAACACGTTTTAGACTGAACCAACATCTGTGAAAAATCGACGGCAAAATAAGAAAAAATCTATCAAGCCGTTACGTGTCTCAAGCCTTGTCTCAACTAGAGTTCGCTCCATAAAGGAAACTAGCGGTTTTGGAGCTATGTTAATATTTCGAACGCTTAAAATTTCGGACGCTTAAAAATTTCGGATTAATTTCGGACACGTTTTTGTCCGAAATTAAAATCGTCCGAAATTTTTTTACGAGTAGAGTAACTGAGCACGAGATTTTCTTATTGCAGTTGCTAAGCAACTTAAGGTATTCTTCAAGTACCATGATGACGTAACAGTCGGGAGTGCTCGGAAAGTACTCGAGAATGTTTTTGCTGGGTTTCGATCAAAGACAGAGAATCAGAAAAAATTGGAGAAACTGTAAGAAATCCGCGTCATCAGAAACTCTACGATACTTTGCTACAGACACAACTGAACTCATCTTTCACTCTCTTAATTATTCCTCTTTGTCACGTCTCTTCTACATACATGTAAAGGAAGTGTGAACTTTAATCCAGAGAATTCAAGTCTACATAACGAGAACGTGTTGAGAAAATTCTCTACATCTACATCTCCATCTACATCTACGTCTAAATCTACATAGTGGGGTCCTGCAAAGGGAGACGCCTATCACTACAAGACATTGAAAGTAAAAAGAGGGGAGGGAGATAACAGACCTAAAAAGAATTATATTTTATAATAAATAAATAAAAACATAATTTGAAAGTTAACTACGAAAAAACAATTAATTAATTAATATTAATGCAACAAACTGATCCCAGCTAGCATTTAAATATTGTAAACGAAGAGCTATCTTAAATAATGAAGTTTTTGCTGCACGAGACTGTAGGTTACTGAGGAGACCACCTTGAGATAAACTTCTCTATTTACATTACCGACGCCTTAGTTTACCTCTTCCTCCACTTCACTCTTCTGTTCACTATCATCAGATCGAAAATCCAACCACAGCACGGATGACCGTCCCATGTCATCCACATGCCAAGTCTGATTATCTGCGAATCCAATTCAGCAACTATTCAGCACCGACTGAGGTTTGATCAGATTTAAAGAAATTAACAGACTAAAGCAGTAAAGTGATCGCAACAGATTCAATACCAGTGCACTGTTGAATGCTGATGGAAAGGTTTCCTTGTATATCTCCGGATTCACTGACAATAGGCACGGATTGCTCCAGGAGAACACCATACACCAAGTTACTTAGGTATATAAACGATCTGGCGAAGAAAATTATATCAAAGGTTTAACAAATGTAGTTGCTTGATAGTATTTGAAGACTGAAAACTTTAAAATAACGTCGATAATCGTCACTTACAAGCTCAAATTTTCTTTCTCCTCGTATTACTATCTCTTCACCTTTTGCATCATTCAGAATAAAACTTAAGAAATTCATTTTCAACAATTATTGATTCTATGAAAACCATAAATTGCAGATGTCCTTGTCAACATGTTACCTGCTATATCTTGCCTTGCTGGAACCTAAGCCTACAAGCCCAACTGGTTTTTATTAGGTTTCCTGGCCATCTGTTTAATTATTTTTCTGCTTTATATTTAAAAATCTATCTAAAAGTCTATTTATAATGGAAAATGAAGTAAAATACAATACAATTTACAAATCGTTAGCCCTGACTAGGGCAATAGTGAGTTGGCTTGGTCGGCACCTAGTGTAAGGAAACTGACATACCTCCCAATGAGCCTGAACCACGGCAGAGCGTCGTAAAAAGGATCAACAGTGTCGAAGGAGATTTTGGTGTTAGATTCTGCAGCAGTGTCATACATGAAGCGCATGTCCTCCAGTCGATCCCTAAACATTAAAACATGACTACCTCAGCTGCGAGTCCTCAACTATTCACACACTGTACCACTGGAACAACATGAGCTTCGCGCCGCGCCAAATATCGCTTTACTGTACATTTGGATCTTAATCAAAGACAAGGGCATAAATACATGTACAATCCAGGCTTTACACAAGGTCAAATAAGAAGAGAACGAGTCTTTCGTAGAGCTTTGACAAAAACGTTGAACAATAGGTCTGCAACGGATTCTAAAAGCACTGAAAACCCTTGAGCAATCAAAGTGATATAACTGATTAGAGACGAATCAAAACTGAAGTGATCTTCTTGCAATAAGTAATTTTAAAGACAGCCTTTGTTACAATCTTTGATGTGTAGCAAAAGTGGTCTTTCATCCACTGCTAGACAGCGTTAAACTTTTAAAAGCAATGCAAGGAGTATAAAGGATGATAATGGAGAATAATGGAAATAATGGAAAACAAGTCAAAATGAGTGAGGAGGACGTTGATGCTGATCTTCGAGATCATGTACTTTTGACTGCATTCTTACCGTAGTTTGCCAAGGGACCAGTAATGTGAGGCGCCATTTTTCATGTCTTTGACTTCAACGGCGAGTACCGCGGGGTTGTCCTTGTGCCTGACGTCACTCAGAAGAAAGGATGGGAGGGGAGTGTAGAGTGTGTCTGTTAACAACGTGAATTGGAACTCCACCTGCAAAACAGTGAGGCAAACTGTTGACCTCTCCAGCAGTCTCTGCTTGGCTTCTTTTACAGGGCTTAGGCGCGTTGGGAGATCAGCGTTTGAAAATCAAATCTAGGAAGGGTTTCATGATTTTTAGTTTCAATATGCTAGAGACAATTTAACCAATATCTCAAAAAGCAACCATGTTAAAATTTGTTAAAGAACATAATCAAACCAGCGAAAACGCTCCACAGAGCTGCCACGTTCGACTGAATAAGACAGCGAATGAAAGAAACAATGATCATGGCCGGAGGAAGCTAACTGATGAATGTTCAACAACGATATCAAGGGTCACTATTCTACCTTTTTCCTCAACTCCACACTGATGGCATTTGCTTCTTTCAACAGCACTGCATGACTCAACAAGTCGTCCTAAAATGTTAACAGTCAGTGGGTATGTATTCAGTTGCTGACAAATTGACCACGCAACTTGTTTACAAAGGCTCAAGCTCGACACCAGA